CCCCAAAACCCCAAAACCCCAAAACCCCAAAACCCCATAAGTTGAAAATATCTAGATTTGAATATATTCTAGCTAATTAATATTTCTTAAGATAAATAAAAATGCAAGGCTTTGGGGGAAATGATAACTTGCAATCAATTATTGCCTCAGTATAAAACGATATTAAAAATCTAAGAACTTAGTTGGAAAATATACCACCTTTTCCAAAAGGTAATTAATTATCATTTCATTTTTCAAATAGATCAAAGACCTCCCTCTCCTTTGGCCAAATTCTAAAACAATCTTGAAAAAATTGAGTTCACATTGAATCAAAACAAAGGAATGGGATCTTTTAAAGGGACTACAAGGGCAAACTCTAGTGGTACTGGATTTAATCAGTCAAATGATTATAAGTTACCAGATATAAGTAAGAATCAAAATTACTTATTCTAACTTGAATAGACCAAGGAAGCATGCAGTCTATGTATTCAGATAGTAAAAAGTTTAACATTGGAGCAGTAAGCAAACCTGTAAAGGCTTTGGTCAAGGAGTCTAAAATAAGTTAAATTCTTGGGGATCCAGAGAATCAATGTGGCCATGACTACTTGCGCAAGAAATATGCACTTCCAAAACCAAATTAGGTGAAATATGGTAGAGCTCAGGGTGCAATGAGCAATCATGATCTTGAAAGGTTAGGTGCAGGAACAATAAAAGGCAAAAAAGTAACATAACCTAAGAGAATTCTGCCGAAAAATTTCAGAGACGATCCTTTTGCAGATCCACCTCCTATAACTGAAGACGATATCTCAGATGGAATGTTTAGTTTACTAAACAGGGGCATAATTCCTCGAGATGTCGACTTATCACCTGCCTTCGAAAGAGGTAACGCTCCATTTATGTTTTAAAAGGCCTAGCTATTCTCAAAGCCTTAATATTTACCTCTTTCTCAAAAGCAGGTATCTGCTCCTCCAGCAGCAATTAAATATTAAAGAAACGAAGATTAAAATATGCAAAATACAAATACATTCTTAACAGCTCTTGGAAACAATCAAATAATTTAGTAATCTACTCTCAACCAAAATAAATAGATGACTCTCAACAAGACAAACTCTAAAACTAATGTAGAATAAATAGAAGATCATAATTACTAAGTGGCTTTAAGGTAAGAGGACTAGATCATAGAGAGAAAGAGGATAGACTTAGATGAGTACAATTTATAAGGAGAAATGGATGATGATCAAGTATCTAATGCTGGAATGGGTGCTTATCCAGGACTAAGATCTATGCTAGATTAATATACATTTGTCATTAAAAAGGGAAAAGTGTTGGAATAGTCTCATGAATTTATATAATTTAAAAGGGCAAATATTACTAAATGGGGGGCAATTTAATTTATAGTCTAACAGCTCGAAAGATTTTTAGGATAATATAATGTTCCCTTTGCCAATATAGATACCAAGAAGGTCCTTTATTTTTCTGATTAGGAATTTGATAATTTAAATGATGATGATCTTCTATCATGTATTTCAAATAGATAGTAAGTTTGGGAAGCAATTAAAAATCCTAAATAAAAGTTTAAAGGACCATACGGACCTGTACTTGCTGCAATTAACATTCAAAAGAATTGGAGAAGATACAAAGCTTACAGTGCTTATTCATAATTAAAATTCTTGATGGAAAAGGCAACAATAATTCAAAGAAAGTTTAGACTTTATCAATTGAAGAAATCTACAAAGAACAAGATCAAAGAGCTCAATAAAGAATCAATTGCAGTGTGGCGTGAAATGTAAGATGAATTCAAACGAAGATGGGGAGATATTAAAAAGTAAAAGAGAGTTGAGATCCATATTAATTCCTACTCAATTACAGAAATGTAAAGAATGTCAATTGAAAAATTCAAGCAAAAGGAAAATGCCCAGATAGCAAGAATCTTTTCAGTTAAGGATCCAAATGTTGATGTAATTTATGTCAGTCCCTTTACTCTTACAAATGATGTCTACAAGTATTACCTTAAAATTTTGGAATTAGTAGAAATCGAGAATCCAGAGAAGAGATTCAATATTATAGTGCCTGAAAACTATGTAAAGTTTCCACAGCATTTTAGCGTAAGTTAAGCACTTCTCTATTCTCCAAAGGCTTTAAAGAGAATTTAAAGTTTGATAAAGGGGAAATAGGCCTATGTAGTTCCCGGAATAGTAAATGACTACGATGTAAAACTTTCAATTTAACTAGCTGTGCCAATACTATGTGGTGAACCCGAAAAGACTAACCTTTACTCAACTAAGTCAGGAGCCAAGAGAATCTTCCAATAAGCTGATGTTCCCACTCCAATCTCAGCTTATGATATTTATGATAGAAACGAATTCGATGTATCTTTAGCTAGGCTAATTGCACATAACTTGTTTGTAAACACCTGGATATTTAAGATCGATGATGAGATGAATGGTAGAGGACATGCCTCTCTTAATGTAGAAACAATAAAGACTATAATTGAATTAAGAAAGAAAAAAGTTGAAATGACTGAGTCTATCATTGAAAAACTTCTTGAGGTTTTAAGGAAAGTACTTCCAAAGAAAGTAAAGATTGCATAGCCAACATTATTCAAGAACTGGGATGAATATATTGAGCATTTTTGTAGAATTGGAGGAGTCATTGAAGCTACTCCTATGTGCCCTCCTAATTCATTAGCTTCTCCATCAATTGCCTTCTTCCTGGAACCAGATGGAAATGTTGAATTGATTGGTTCATTTGATAAGTTTGCAGCCAAAGAGTATAATAACGCAGGATGCTTCTTCCCTTAGACTAGTTTACCCCAGATGAATCTAATGACTATTAGCAAGGCAATCGGGGAAGTTCTCTATGAAAAAGGTGTTATCGGTCATGTAACAGTAGACTTAGTAAGTTTCCCTGATCCCACTAATCCAAAAGCACATCCATTGTTCTGGGCAGTAGATATTAACTGCTCATTATCAGACTATGCAACTATTTGTCTTTTCTTTGATATTCTTATGGAAGGCAGACTTGACCCATAAACCGGAGAATACTCAATTGAAGTTATCAAGGATCCAGATGATATAGGCGATCGTGAATTTGATGAGAAGAAGCCAAATAATTTCTTCGAGCAGAGAAACTTTATGTTTTGTAGGTTCCTCCATCACCCAGGACTCGCTACCATTTAGTACAAAACCTTCTTTCATATGTGTCGTTTGGAATCAATCTCATTCGATATGGAGAAAAGGAGTGGAAGTACATTTGTACTTTACGATTGTCTTCAAAGTGGAGTTATAGCTATGCTTACAATCGGAGTCCATAGGAAAGTCTCGGTCAATCACATGGTTGATGCACTTAATTTTATTCAGAATCAGGTAATTACAATAGTTGTTTAGTTTATTAAATATTTAGGCTGGAGTTATTCCTCAGAGAGCCCTCATGGATGATGTTAGAGTTGATGAAGTAGCCATTGGAGATGTTATTCAAAGAGTCAGGCTTATTAATAGAGCTTTCGAGAAGAAGTCCAAGAAAACTATTAAGGGTGACAAGATTTCTTTCATGTAAGATAAATTATCCATTCATAAAAATAACATAGGTCTGAGATTATTTGACAAGAATATAACTTTAAAAATGACTTTAATTGTCTTATTAATTCAAACTTTTATTTTCTGGAGCGGGGTTTTGGGGTTTTGGGGTTTTGGGG